TCCCTTTATCATTTTAACTTTTTTACATCTTCTTTACCTGAGAATATACTAAACTTTTCTTTTTCTTTTCTTTTTTTTTTTGAGACATAGAGTCTCACTCTGTCACCCAGGCTGGAGTACAGTGGTATGATCTTGGCTCACTGCAACCTCCACCTCCCAGGTACAAACGATTCTCATGCCTCGGCCTCCAGAGAAGCTGGGACTACAGGCACATGCAACCACGTATGGCTAATTTTGGGGGGGTTTTTTAAGTAGAAATGGAGTTTCGCCATGTTGGTCAAACTGGTCTCGAACTCCTGACCTCAAGTGATCTGCCCACCTGGGCTTCACAGGCCATAGATTGTGTAACTTGTTTGTTTTTCCCAGATGCATCTTCAACCTTGGCAAAAATAAACCTGTGAATTTTTAGTTTACACTATCAGGGAGCGCAAAAGAAGTATGGAGAAGAGCTTTCACTCTTAAGGGCCTGGTGATGTACCAGAAGAATCTTAAAGCAAGCTTTACTAAGTATGCTTTATCTATTTGTTTGCTGTCCCCAACATTGCCACCCCTGGAGACTCAAAGTACTTTTCCTTCATCTTCTAAATTCTCCAAAATTTTACTGTTCTTTGTGGAAGACACTACACAAAAGCTGGAATTCAAAGCCACCTCAATGTGTACTCATTCCCTGGGTGTCATTCATGTATATGTAATATATATGTTAATACACTTCTGCTTGTTTTTCATTTGTTAATCTGTCTTTTGTTACACGGTTTGTTTCAACTAAGAACCTATGTGGGGGGTGGGAGTTGAAGGGAAAATTATTCTGCCTTTTCTCCACCTTCATCTCCTATTGTCCCCTGCTCATTCCCCATGGTCACCATGGTACCTCAGCAGTCTCCCTCCTCTTCTCCCTGAACACATCCGCACAAGTTGCTTCCTCACCTCTTTCAGCTCTTCGCTGAAATACTATCTTCTTAGTAGGGTCTTCATTAGTTGCCTTATCTAAATTTCAGCTTCCCATGACACTCTTTAGTCTTGCTTTATTTTTTTTTCCTTCTCACCATCTAACATATTACATATATTTACCTATCTAGCTTATTTTCTGTCTATTCCAGACTCAAATGTAAATTCCATGAGAGCAAAAATTGTTTTGTTCTCTGGGTGTATTTCCAACGCACAGACCAGCATCTGGTACATTGTAAATTCTCAACCAGTGTTATTTGCAGTAAATAAAAATCAATGTTAAAGAAATATGTCATCCAAAATGGATCATATTAAATTTTTAAAAAAGAAATACTATTTGTTATATAAGTAATGATGGCATCGTAATTTATTTTGTTATTTTTCAGATGGAGTCTCGGTCTGTCACCAGGCTGGAGTGCAGTAGCATGATCTCGGCTCACTACAACCTCTACCTCACAAGTTCAAGAGATTCTCCTACCTCAACCTCCCGAGTAGCTGGGATTACAGGCATGCACCACCAGGCCTGGTCCAGCTAATTTTTATATTTTTAGTAGAGATGGGGTTTCACCAAGTTGGCCAAGTTTGTCAAGAACTCCTAACCTCACGTGATCCACCCACATCGGCCTGCCAGAGTGCTGGGATTACAGGCGTGAGCCAAGGCACCTGGCCCATTATAAGGTGTTAAATAGCAGATGACATATATAAAATAGATGAAATGATGTTGAAATTGCCATTGCAAAATTGTAACTGAGACAAAGTGATCTGACCTAAGCAACTCCATCTTGCTTCTAACCTTCAAGCTGTCCTTGTTCATTCCTGGGTGTAGGCTGAACTACCTTTGGGAGGAACTTAGTTTATAGTTTAAAACTAATATGATAACAGCACTTTCCCAAAACAAACCTCCTTGCCTGGGGACTAGACTGCCTTTGTAGATAGAACTAATTACTCACAAGATTAGAAATTACGGTTTAGGGGCTTGTCGTAATGGCTCACGCCTGTAATCCCAGCATTTTGGGAGGCAAAGGCAGGCAGATCACTTGAGGTCAGGAGTTCGAGACCAACCTGGCCAATATGATGAAACCCCGTCTCTACTAAAAATACAAAAATTAGCTAGGCATGGTGGCACACACCTGTAATCCCAGCTGCTTGGGAGGCTGAACAAGAGAATCGCTCGAACCTGGGAGGTGGAGGTTGCAGTCTCCATCCTGGGCGACGCAGTGAGACTCTGTCTCAAAGGAAAAAAAAAACAAACAAACACACATTATAGTTTAGGAGTCCTGCAGCTGGAACCTATAAGATTCTGACCCTACCTAAACTGCTCCTAAGATCAGTGCTTGAGATATTTTGCAGACCTGATGCTGGTACCACCCAGATTCGTAAACTGACTCATCCGATCTCCTGGCCTCCACCCAGAAACTGACCAGCCCAAGGAAACAGCTTCGACTCCCGGTAATGACATCTCTGACCTAACCAATCAGGACTCCTGGTTCACCGGCTTCCCCCACCCAGAATGCTGGGGAGACCAATTTGAGTAACAATAAAACTAGGGTCTCCCGGACAGCTGGCTCTGAATTACTTTCTCTATTGCAATTCCCTGCCTAGATAACTCAGCTTTGTCTAGGCAGCGGGCAAGGTGAACCCATGAGGCGGTTTCATTATTTGCTTTACAAAAATCAATAGATAAAACACACTTAAGCCAATGTTTTTATTGAAGCTGGATGAGAGGAACATAGGTTTTATTAAACTATTATCTCCTTTCCCATATATTCTGGAATGTCAAATAAGTTTTTAAAATAAAAACAATATGTGAAAAAAAATGACAAGTTGCTAAATTAATAAAGGTCATAAAGGAGGATCTGCTGAATACCCAAACAGGGCCTTGTGCTAATCTGTAAAGAAAGGGTTCTATATGCAAACAGATACCTTGGTTGTATGCCAAGCAGCCCAGGATGGTATGTGTTCCTCCTTGTAACATCCCTAAAAACTTGATACTTTCACTGAAAGGACCTTGGTCTCTCAAAAAAAAAAAAAAAAAAACAAAACAAAAAAAAAAAAACACCTTACGTTAGTGTTGCCCTAAGAAATTCTTATAAAAGTCAGGTGTTGAAAGATAGTCAAGCAAGCCAGAAAGTCTTTAGAGACCAGTATATTCTGAGGGCAAACTACAAGGAAACAGATTCAATTAGAAAACTGTGCTAAGTCTGGAGTCAAACCAGAGCTAATGAGTGTTAAAATTTATGTAGCAAGGAGTCTCAGCCCCAGCTGTTTGTTAGAAGCACCTGAATATTAATAATTACTATTCCCTGGGCCCACTCTACAGACTGCTATTAGTCTCATTGAACACCAGGTAAAGATTTTTCTAAAGCCTTCCCATGTGACTGTAATGTTACATTGAGAAAACTGATCTGTAAAGAAATCAAACTATTTTAGGGGATTGTTCTGTGCACTTGCTTTAGAGAACATTTCATAGAATATTTCATTCTGTAAAATAAACACATTTTGCAAAAGCTCACTCCTTGTAACAGTTCACAGGCAGGATGCCTTTATTGATTAGACCAAAACCAACAACCTAGGCTTTCTAAATCAGTGTTCATGACAATCATCTGAGGTATATACAGATTGACTCCAGCCCTAGATGGGGATTGAAACAAGCTTCTAACAAGTTCCCAGGTAATGCCCACGCTGCCAGTAATGTAGAAGCCAATCTGGCTTTGGTTTCTGCCACCAATTTCTGATATTGAATCAACTATCGGTCAAAAATGGATCATTTCACAGAAAAGACCAAGAACTGTTTAAAAAAAAAAAAAAGTGGGGCGGGGGATTGTAGAAATAGCTTACTTCAGACAAGAAAAAGCAGCAACCAAGGACATCTGTACCTATTCTCAACTGCCAATGCTCATTAACTGTAAGGTTTTAAAAGGGATTAACTACAAATACACTACGGAAAAAAAACCCCTTCTATAATGAGTATAAGTAGACAACGCAACTAACGCTTGAGACAAACCATGTATAACATGAACCCAGATGGCCCCTTCCACTACCAAATCGAAGCACCAAACCCCTAATAGCCAGCAAAAAATTAAAAATTTAAATTTAAGTTTAAAAAAAAAGGACGTTGACAATCTGGCATGTTCGGGAGAAAGCACGGGAATATAGCAAGCTTACCATTAACTTTAGCCAATCAAATGAGGACTTAAATACTACCACCAACGTTCAGTTTCAAAGATTCGATTAGTCAATCACAGCTATTTTCGGGTGAAAGTAGGCGGCTCTTAAAAGAGCCTTTGGGTTGGAGAGAATTATTACCCAGAAACCTCTACGCTCTCTCCCCACGAATGCGGCGAGCGAGCTGAATGTCCTTGGGCATGATAGTCACTCGCTTAGCATGGATGGCACACAGGTTGGTGTCCTCAAAGAGCCCCACCAAATAGGCTTCGCAGGCCTCCTGAAGGGCCATCACCGCGGAACTCTGAAAGCGAAGATCCGTCTTGAAGTCCTGAGCGATTTCTCGCACCAGGCGCTGGAAAGGCAACTTTCGGATCAGCAGCTCAGTCGACTTCTGGTAGCGGCGAATCTCGCGCAGAGCCACGGTGCCGGGACGGTAGCGGTGAGGCTTCTTCACGCCGCCGGTGGCCGGCGCGCTTTTCCGAGCCGCCTTAGTGGCCAGCTGCTTGCGCGGTGCTTTGCCACCGGTGGACTTGCGTGCAGTCTGCTTGGTGCGGGCCATCTCAGATTAACTGGAAGAAAAATTCAGCCATTTGGCAGAGTGGCGACTGCCCTTATATATACTCAGAAACATTCTAATTGGCCTTGCTGATTTTTAAAAGTCCCGCGCAACAAAACCATTGGCTGAAGAGTCCAACGATGTGATTGGTGAATTACTGGAAAGTCTGATTGGACAAATCACTTCATTTTTTAATCCTCTCTTCTCTGTTAGTATGCGATCCAAGAGCGTTAATTTCCTAAAATTCTAATTCTGCGCTTTTCAAGCTGTAGTCCGTAAACGACTACTTTAAGACTTTGGAAGACGCTAATTCTCATTCAGTAGATGTGTTGTGGGGCCAGATTCGGAGGACCACGTTTTGAGAAGTTTATCTGTGGTTTTCCGGAGTAACTTGAACTGCCGCTAGCTAGAAACTTTTGACCACAAGGCAGGATTCCTGGGTGGTGTACCTGGGAAATCACAAGCCAAGAAGTCACCTACATAAAACAGTGAGCAACAAATGTTAACTGAATTGTATTTTGTCCCAAATGGTGTTTTGCTTCGGTTGAGAATTTTTAAAGGACAGACTAACTAGGTTTTCCAACGACTCTCATTTACTTTTCATTGGGTCCTATTGATATTCCAGGCTACCATCCCCACTAGCCTCTTCTGCAGGGTAACTTGAACACTGGAGTGGCCCTGTCCATGTAAACTTTACACAGTTTTGCAAACATTATTGAACTTGCTTCTTCCCGAATACATTAAAGCACTTACTTGCGATATTAGACATTTTCTCATTAGTCCTGTTCGCCTAGTCAGTCACTTGTATAGACAGGGCCACAGTACGGCCTGAATATTGGGCAGGACACCGCCCTGCGCGATAGTAACTTTGCCCAGCAGCTTGTTGAGCTTCTCGCGGTGGATGGCCAGCTGCAGGCGTCGGGGAATGACGCAGGTCTTCTGTCGCGGGCCGCGTTGCCCGCCAACTCCAGGATCTTGGCGGTCAGGTACTCCAGCACCGCCGCCAGGTACACGGGCGCGCTGGCCCCCACCCGCTCGCCGTAGTTGCCCTTGCGGAGCAGGCGGTGCCCTCGGCCCACAGAAAACTGGAGACCAGCCCTGGAAGAGTGTGTTTGAGCCTTGGCGCCAGCTTTGCTGCCCTGCTTTCCACATCCAGACGCAGTGAAGTATTTAAATAATTGTTTAGAAGAAGGAAAGTGACTGGTTCTAGTAAAACGCAACCAGCTAAACTACTATAATCTATATTCGGTAAAGTGGCCTGTGCTATCTCCTGAACAAAGATTTCAGCCAATCGAAAAGCAGATGTTTAAAAAAAGTTAAAAAAAAAAAAACTTCTGACTTACATAATTATAGTTGAAAGGTCAAATTATGAGGTTGAGCTTCTGGGAGAGCCAATGAGATTTAGGAATTTAGAAATGGCCTATCGTATGTTCAGACATTAAAAGAACCAATCAGAAACCGAAACTCAGCAAGCCTCATTTGCATATACACGGAATAAATAACGAGGGCGTTTGGGCTCGCCAGCATTTCCCTGTGGTCGTTTGACGGTGTCACTTCGGCTGCGAACATGCCAGAACCAGCTAAGTCAGCCCCTGCCCCGAAGAAGGGCTCGAAGAAGGCGGTGACCAAGGCACAGAAGAAGGACGGCAAGAAGCGCAAGCGCAGCCGTAAGGAGAGCTATTCCGTGTACGTGTACAAGGTGCTGAAGCAGGTCCACCCGGACACCGGCATCTCGTCCAAGGCTATGGGTATCATGAACTCCTTCGTCAACGACATTTTTGAGCGTATCGCAGGCGAGGCTTCCCGCCTGGCGCATTACAACAAGCGCTCGACTATCACTTCCAGGGAGATACAAACGGCCGTGCGCCTGCTGCTCCCCGGGGAGCTGGCCAAACACGCGGTGTCGGAGGGCACCAAGGCTGTCACCAAGTACACCAGCTCCAAATAAATAGTTACCTGAGTAAAAGCGCCAACGACCCAAAGGCTCTTTTAAGAGCCACCCATGTTGTCGTTTAAAGATCTGTAATTTTCCAGAGTTGGCAAGGTAAAATGGCTAAGCAACACATGGGATAGTAAGGGTTTACTAAAACGTCCAAGTTCGGCCGCGCGCAGTGGCTCACGCCTGTAATCCCAGCACTTTTGGAGGCCGAGGAGGGCGGATCACATGAGGTCAGGAGTTCGAGACCAGCCTAGCCAACATGGTGAAACCCCGTTTCTACTAAAATATACAAAAATTAGCCGGGAATGGTGGCAGACTTAATCCCAGCTACTTGGGAGGCAGTCAGAAGAATCGTTTGAGCCCGGGAGGCGGAGGTTGCAGTGAGCCGAGATCGAGCCGTTGTACTCAAACCTGGGGTATAAGAGCGAGACTGCCCTCAAAAAGTCCAGGTTCGTTGTTTTTTCCCCTATAGATTGTAAGCGTCACCAAGGAGTAAGTGCGTATGCAGCTTAATATGAGACATTTCACTCAGCAGCTAAGGAAAAATCGTGTTCTAGGTTGATCCCCACTTTTCTTCCCGCACACCACCACCTTAAAGCTATGTTTTCGCTTTTAGTTTCACTTTAACATCCTATTGCCCTTGACTTGGAGTAGCCGGGTGGAAATCAAGTTTGGGGTAGTATTAAATCTAAAATAAGCTCTGAGAAAGCGAAATTCGTCTTGTAGTTCGTTGTTAACTTGTAAATGATTGGAGCGGCATTTGACGGAGGAAATCACCTCTGTTGGTTGCATTTCTAAACCATGGCAGATCGCTACCAGACGTTCTCATTATCCCCCTTCCAACTCTACTAATTTCTTTACAAATTTTACTGAGTTTATAATTAATGGATTACTTCACGTAGCTATATATATTACCTCTTGGCAAGATCAGGAACTCTACCATCTTCCTAGCTGAACATATTGAGGTTTAAGAGAAAGAACAGGCAACAGGATAGCCTGAAGTTGGAGCAAAGAAATGAAAATTCCCGGTGCTACATTCATATGCTTTATCTGTAAGCCATTTTAAGGCTCCAAGGACTGTGTTCTCCCTCAGCCACCTCCTCCGTGTCCTGGAACGACTTTGTCCACAGCTACTTCCTTTCCTGAAATTTCATTTTAAGAGAGGAGGGTTACAAGGAATTAACATTTGTGTGGTAGTCCTTAGAATGCATTCATTCATTGATTTTTTTTTTTTCCTACAGTCAGCTGTGAAATGGAATATCCTCTTTTACAGGTGGATGACTTCAAGAATTTAGGTTAACTAGCCCCTTACACATAAATAAAACTGAGATTTGAAGCTACTCTATCTGATTGTAAGGATTACTTCCCACTATTCGTTAGAGAACATCCCAAGCAGAAGCCTAGTTGCTGTCACAGAAGTCAGGAAATTTAGGCTCAATCAATAAAAGAAAACTCGTCAGGAGATACACATATTCTTTGTCGCACAGCAAAGTCCTTACACCAGGAAAAGTTTCTTTTAAAAATAAAATAATATTAATGGTGACCTTTGGGCCCTAAAGATCACCTGGCAGCAAGTTTAACTTTTCTGAGCACTATATTCTGGAGGGGAAACCTTGGGCATTGTCAGTGTAAATGTGAGCTCTAAAAATCTTATTTTCTATTTATTACCTACATGTCATTATTTTCTATTTATTACCCACATAGCAGCTTACTGTGAACATTAAGTGACCAAAATTTGTTTTTAATTTTTTGTTTTGAGACAGGGTCTCACTTTGTCATCCAGACTGAAGTGTAGTGACACAACCACATGCTCACTGCATTCAACCTCCCTGGCTAGTGTTCCCACCTGTCTCCCAAGGAGCTGGCACTACAGGCACGCACCATCACACCCGCTTAATTTTTATTATTTTGTTTTTATGATTTTTGTAGAGCCAGGGTCCCACTGTGTTGCCCAGGCTGGTCTCAAAGTAAATTTGTAATGGAATTTGTGAAAAAAAATTCTCTAAGCTCCATATATAACTAAGGCATTCATTTCTTGCTCTCCAAAGCTAATTTCAATTAAATTATATATTCGTGAAATATTCAAGCATGGATTAAGGGGGACATCACTCAGGAAGTGATAGTCCTGATTGCCTGTTTCAATCCTAAGTTTGGGCAATTTATCTAATTCCTCTGTAAGCACTTCCTTACCTGTTTATTCCAAACAGGAATAATAATTAGTAACTACTGCATGACACTGCTGGAGTAACAAATAAAAGGACACAGCTAAAGCACTTAGGACCGTGTCTGCACAGAGGATGACCCCCTAAATATTAACTGTGGCTAAAGCCTCTGGTTGAAATGATAGAGAAGGTGCCTTTCATCCTGCCCACAATTAAAGCCAAGAGTCCTGAGGCCTGGAATAATTAGCGTTTGATGTGAAAAGGGCTTCTTTGTCTGGCAGTGTAAATAATACTCTTTGAACAGTTCAATCCCCTCTTTAAAGCCATTGCTTTCCTCTGAAGCATTTTGAAGACATCCTACCGCCTGTGGCTGTTTGATTTCCCTATCGTTGCTTGCCAATTCAAGCAACATGTGTCATATTTTCCAGGGACTGTCTCATGCCCTCAGTAGAACTAGGGGTGCCTCATTTAATGGTCAGATGTGTTGAGTTGTAAGGAAGGAAACCTAGAAATTCACGTAAGAATTGCTTAGTACTTTTTTACTCCTTTTTTCTTCCCAAGTTTCCTATTAACTTTGCTAACCTTGCTACATTTATTTTGCATCCATTTGTTGACTAGGTTTCCCTCATATACCTCCAAATCACAGCCATGTTTTTAGATGAACTTCTGCACCTTGATAAGTATGTTCTTTAATTGGAATGTAGGAAATTGGCTGGCTGATGAGGGCCACACTTTCCTGAATCCATTGTATCCTTGAGACATAGGTCACTTCAAAGGAAACTAATTGGTGTAAATTCCTGGCCTGAAAAGCTGAAGAACACCACCTCACCACTAAAGAAGTAACATCATTTTTAGGCTCTGATTTGAGTAGCTGCTACCACTGTATTTGTCACTCCTGCAGTAAATAATTTCTGAAAAGAACCAAGAAGTTACTATCTCCCAACTACCCTCAGCAGTGTATATCTTGATGGCATTCAGAACATACTATCCCAAAATATGGCCCCTTAACATACTGAATATTTTAAGGTGAAAGAATTTGAGAAGCATCATCGGCAGTAAGGTCTCTCTGACTTTTCCCAACTCTTCTCCCCTGAAGTAGGTCATAGGACCCTCGTATGAGTCCTGCAGAGTCTGAGAGAAATCTGAACAAAAAGACCTTGCTAGGTTTCTGTTTCAACCTTAGCTCACAGTCTTCTTTTTGTCCTATTATATTTCTGCATGACTCTCCACTCTTCATCAAACCTAGTGTAAAAATACTCAGGTTTACCCCTTCTCTAGGTTTTCATTTCCTTATGAAGGCTCCCATGTCATGTGAAATTTATATTAAATAAATGTTGCATTAGTCCACTCTCACACTGCTATAAATAAATAACTGAGACTGGGTAATTATAAAGAGAAGAGGTTTCATTGGCTCCTAAAACCGCAGGCTGTACAGGAAGCATAGCAGCTTCTGCTTCTGGGGAGGCCTCAGGGAGCTTTTACTCATGGCAGAAGGCAAATGGGAAACAAGGCGTCTTACGTGGTGGTGCAGAAGCAAGGGGGAGAGAAGGTGGAGGTACCATACTGTTAAACAACCAGGTGACAAAACTCGCTATCCCAACAGCTCCAAGGGGGTGGTGTTAAACCTTGAGAAACCACCCCTGTGGTCCAATGACCTCCCACCAGACCCCACCTCCAACACTGGGGATTGCAACTGAACGTGAGATTTGGGTGGGAACACAGATCCAAACCGCATCAAATGTATATGCTTTTCTCTCGTTAATCTGTCTTTTGTTACAGGGCCCCAGCCAATGAATTTCAGATGGGTAGAAGGGAAAGCTGTTTTCTTCCCTACAGCACACAGTAGGTGTGGGCGGGCATCTGTGTTCTGTATGTCTGTTTTTCTAGGATAGAGAAGCAGACATAACATTGAAAAAATACAGAGAAAAATAATCCCAGAATGAAAATGTTTGAGATGTGTATTCCTTTGCTAGGGCTGCCATAACAAAGTACCAGACTGGGTGACTTCAACATTTATTTTTTTCACAATTCTGGAGGCTACAATTCTTAAGATTAACCCTGTGAGCAGGGTCGATTTCTTCTGAGGTCTCTCTCCATGGTATGTCGATAACTGTCTTCTCCCTGTGTCTTCACATTATCTTTTCTCCGTGTGTGTGTCCAGTCTTCTTTACTTATAAGGACACCAGTCAGATTGGATTCAGACCCACCTCAATAACTTCATTTTGTATCTTTAACAACCCTAACTCTACATGCAGTCATATTTTCAAGGACTTCAACATATGCAGCAGGGAAGAGGGTAAATCAGTCCATAACAAGAAGCACAGTAATTAGTTTTCCAAATACTATATGAACTAAGTATTCCACAGGTGGCTCAAACCCAGCAGGACCAAGCCTGGCCTCATTATCCTCACAGCTCTGCTTATCCAAGTTTGAAATTTGGTCCTCATCCTAGGTTACCACCATTCATTTTCATCATATATTTAAAAATATACAAATTCCTGTTCTATTGATTCTATTTTAACATCATATTTTTGTTTATCATGGCTAAAAATTGGAAATATAAATGTTGAAGAGTAGGAGTTTCACTAAAAATAGGTTTTATCAGGCCCGGCACAGTAGCTCACGCCAGCACTTTGGGAGGCCGAGGTAGGCAGATCACTTGAGCCCAAGAGTTTGAGACAGCCTGGGCAATATGGTTAAACCCCATCTCTACAGAAAATACAAAAATTACTCCGGTGTGGTGGTGTGCATCTGTAGTCCCAGCTACTCAGGAGACTGAGGTAGGAGGATCGCTGTAGCCTGGGAGGCAGAGGTTGCAGTGAGCCATGATCCCGATACGGCACTCCAGCCTGAGCAACAGAGAGAGACACTGTCTTAAAAGAAGAAAAAAGACAAAAAAAAAAAAAGGTTTATGCATAATGAAATACTGTGCAGCTGTTAAAACCAATGTCAAAAAAATAAACATAAAATATGCTTGAAGGACAGTACTTTGGGAAAGGTGCCAAATCATATATTCTCATTTATATTAATATATCATATACATGTGTAGTATAGTTACAGGATAAAAAACTGACTAGAAGGCTCAATGCCAAAATGTTAACAATTCTGTTGCATTCTTTGGGATGAAAGGATCAGCTCCTCTGGAGAGAACTTTCTCTATCTGGCTGTCTCTAAAACTCCCAATAGTGTGATTAAGAAAAAAGAAGTTCTGGGCCGGGCGTGGTGGCTCAAGCCTGTAATCCCAGCACTTTGGGAGGCCGAGACGGGCAGATCACGAGGTCAGGAGAGCGAGACCACCCTGGCTAACACGGTGAAACCCCGTCTCTACTAAAAAATACAAAAAACTAGCCGGGCGAGCTGGCGGGCGCCTGTAGTCCCAGCTACTAGGGAGGCTGAGGCAGGAGAATGGCGTAAACGCGGGAGGCGGAGCTTGCAGTGAGCTGAGATCCGGCCACTGCACTCCAGCCTGGGCGACAGAGCGAGACTCCGTCTCAAAAAAAAAAAAAAAAGAAAAAAAATAGTTCTCCATGAAGCCCTTTCCTTTTCCAAGTTTCCCCATTCTGTGTTAAGAAAAATAAAAGTAATTTTTTTCTTTTTTCTACTGCCTCCATATTTGCAGAAAAAAAATTATTAATTGAACATATAATTATTGAATACCAACTATGTACACAGTATTATTCTAGGTTTGGTATATAAAATATGAATAAGATAATTTTAAGATTCAATTCCTTACTAAGGAAATTGAAAAACAACGCAAGAGAAAAGTATCCTAGTATTAAAGGATAGAGTAAGATTAGTGAACTACTTAATCCATGTTACTCTATGTTCTTGTTTATAAAATAATGCACTAGTGACCTCAAAGAGGATCAAATGGGAAAGTCAAGCAAAACTTGCAATATTACTGTAAAGACCAGAAAAGCATAAGGAATTTTAATGCCAAGAAAGCAACATTGCAAGGCAATGGTTACCTCCAGGGGAAGTAGTGGGAGGATGAGAGATGAGAGAGATGTTATTTGTAATATTTGTTATACCTGGTTGGCAACTGGGTTCAAGCATGGTCATTATATTATCCTTTATAACTTGTATATGGATTTAATACTTTTTTTTTTTTTTTTTTTTCAGACGGAGACTTGCTCTGCCACCCAGGCTGGAGTGTAGTCGCAATCTCGGTTCACTGCAACCTCCTCTTCCTGGGTTCAAGCAATTCTCCTACCTCAGCCTCCAGAGTACCTGGGACTACAAGCACGCACCACCATGCCCAGCTAATTTTGTATTTTTGGTAGACATGGGGTTTCACTATGTTGGCCAAGCTGGTCTTGTCTCCTGAACTCAGGTGATCCACCTGCCTCAGCCTCCGAGAGTTCTAGCATTACAGGCATGCACTACAGCACCTGGCCTTACTTTTTTTTTTTTTTTTTTTTGAGACAGGAGGCCGGGCGCGGTGGCTCAAGCCTGTAATCCCTGCACTTTGGGAGGCCGAGACGGGCGGATCACGAGGTCAGGAGATCGAGACCATCCTGGCTAACATGGTGAAACCCCGTCTCTACTAAAAAATACAAAAAATTAGCCGAGTGTGGTGGCGGGCGCCTGTAGTCCCAGCTACTCAGGAGGCTGAGGCAGGAGAATGGCGTAAACCCGGGAGGCGGAGCTTGCAGTGAGCTGAGATCTGGCCACTGCACTCCAGCCTGGGCAACACAGCGAGACTCCGTCTCAAAAAAAAAAAAAAAAAAAAAAAAAAAAAAAGAGACAGGAGTCTCGCTCTGTCACCCAGGCTGGAGTGCAGTGGCGCGATCTCAGCTCACTGCAAGCTCCGCCTCCCGGGTTCACGCCATTCTGCCTCAGCCTCCCCAGTAGCTGGGACTACAGGCGCCTGCCATGGCACCCAGCTAATGTTTTGTATTTTTTGTAGAGACGGGGTTTCACCAGATCTCCATCTCCTGACCTCGTGATCCGCCCACCTCGGCCTCCCAAAGTGCTGGGATTACAGGCATGAGCCACTGCACCCGGCCTACATTCTTTTATATGTATCTAGAATTATAAATTTTGAAGCAAATAAAGTAACAACAATGAACAAATGTATTCATGGAAAAGTCATCTCGCCTTCCATAAAAACAAAACCTCCATAAATATTGCATGTATTAGAAATTTGGTTATAAAAAAGGCAATCTCTCCAAAAGTCTGTAGATGCTCAAAAGACCAGGCACTTTACGAAAATCACTGCTAATATACAAGACTTGCTGTGTAGAAGACAGTTCTTGAAATACCTTCCTTCTCTGCCAGAAGGCCATAACCTAACATGTATACTAAGGTATTTCATTTTATCAACTGTAAATTTAGATTTATATTCATTTTATTTATATTCATCTAGGTATTTGTTAAGATAAACACATAATTTGAGTCTAATATGCTCAGCGTTAAGAACTAGTTTTGTGAAAGGTGTTAGAATTGTGACATAATCAGAAGCAAAGCAGGGAGGGGAGATTTTCTATGGTTCCCTGCTCTCCAGAAAAAAGTTCACATTTGTGTCATTGGCCTAACAGCCAGGAACTATCACTTCTGATACTGACTTGAATTACACTCATCTGACATTCCATATAATATTCCATTCCTGCTTTCCTTTTCATAAGCATATGTTTTCACTCTCCAAATAGACTGCAGGATCATTAGTAGCAGGGAAAAATATAGTGGGAAGGCCGTGGGGAAGGGAGCAGGATTGTAATGCCAGTGGGGTCACAACACAGAAGGTGTCACTTGAAAGAAGTGAGGCAGCAACACTTAAATCTAGAAGCTGAATTGCCCACACAAAGGGAATTGTCAGTATATAGTCCCTGAAAGAGATACATACTTCCAGCAAGTTCGAGAGGCTAGCGGAGCTGGGCAAGGAAGGAAAGGAGGAGTAGTGGGATTTGAGGCCAAAGAGATAACAACAGCCAGAGTGGGGACTTGCAAGGTACTGAAAGGACTTTGGGTTTTCCTTTTAGTGAAATGAGAGCCATTGGAGGATTTTCAGTAGAAGAGTGACCTGATTTTACTCACCCTTTACTGGAAATCTGTGGAACAGAACTAGGCAATGAGGGTGCTACAACAATAAAGGTGAGCGTTGGCAGTGGTTTGACCAGAAGTGGGAATGAGAAACAGTTGGATTCTGTTTTCAAAGAGCTCATAGAACTTACTGATGGATTGTTATGTAGGATGTGAAAGGAAACGACAGAAATGACTCCAGCTAAAACAGTAAAATGCTGTTCACTAATTTCAAGATGATGGGAGAAGCTGTTTTGCAGACATAATGAAAGAAATTGAAGCTTATTTAAGTTTGAAGTGCATATTTATTGGACTTTCAAGTTGAGATGTCAAGTAGCAGGGTCTCTAGAATATGGAATACAAGGCTGTGGGCTACTGACTTAACATCCACAATATGAACATATGGGCAGCATCTCCACAGCAACAAACATCAGTTCAAAATAATCAGAGAGATTTTCATCCTCCACGTCCATCTTCTCAGATCCATCAGGAGCCACAGAACTAAGGGAAGAAAAAAGGCAGCATCAAATATAGAGCTGTCAAGCTGAGTTCCACAAATACGTTTCAGGAGGCCTGAGAACTCCTGGAATTCCAAGCAAAATATATGGGGAAAGTGGGCACATTTTGAAAAAGGGTGAATATCTATCACTGGGTCTCCAAAGTAACCCCCCTTCATGGTTCTAACTTTAACAGGTTATTTGAATGAAAATTGCAATATTATTGCATACCCTTATTACCAAGGGCATTTTTCCACATTTGTAAAATAGGGATAACTTTTTCTGTGTGTTCCAAATATTACGGAAACAGACAATTACTAAAGAAAGCACTTGTAAAACTGCAAGTTAGGAATCCAGATGTCGTACGTACAAAGCAAACATTCCTTACTTCTGTAACCCAGGGCTCAGTCCTTGCACTGCTTATCTTCATTATCAACCCTCTTTTCCTAAGAGATGTCATTTCACCTTCTGGCTTTTTTACTCTCATAGGAGTAAAAACTCTCAATTACGTTTCCAGCCGAGACTTCTTTTCTGAACTCCAGATTTGTGTATCAAACTGCTTACCTTCGTATATCTTCCTCTTAGATATGTGTAATAAGCATTTCACACTCTCTCTGGATGTCCAAAACTAAGATATGGAATTCTTCCCAAAACTTGTTCCTTGAGTATTCTTCCCCGTTTTTAGCAACTGATACCTCCATTTCAGTTGCTGTCAGTGAAATAACTGGAATCATCCATAAATTTTCTTTCTCTCATACTCTACACACTCAGTGGCTCAGAAATGAACTATCAACCTTCTTTCAAAATAAATAAAGAATCCAACAACTTTTCAGAGCCTCTACCACTAATACACAGAGCAAGCCACTGCCATCTCAACTCCTTTTTTTTAGTACCCTACTAACTGATCTCTGCTCCTATCCAGGCTCCATCACAGTTTATTCTTCATTAGGCATCCAGACAGCTCATTTTAAAATATAAATCAGATCATCTCAGTCCTCTGCTCAAAACCCTGAGTGGCTCCCACCTCACTAGGAATAAAACCAAAGTAGTTACACTGGCCTACATACAAGGCCATATAGGAACAGCTTGCCTCCATTTGCCTTTCAGACCTCATCTCCATTCCTCTGCACCTCTTCTGCCCTTTTGCCCAGCCACAATAACTCTGCTATCTCCAGGCTTTGCTACTTGGTCTTCTATTTGGAATATTCTCTAGTCTTTATTTCTCCACTATCGCTTTATCAGTAAAGCTTTCCTTGACCCTATCATTTAAAATGACCACCTTCTCGACTGGGCGCGGTGACTCACACCTGTAATCCCAGCACTTTGGGAGGCCAAGGCAGGCAGATCACATGAAGCAGGAGTTCAGGACGAGTCTAACCAAACATGTACTAAAAATACAAAAATTAGCTGGGTGTGGTGGCGCATGCTTGTAATCCCAGCTACTCGGGAGGCTGAGACACTAGAATTGCTTGAACCCAAGCGAGGTGTAGGTGGAATGTGCCGAGATCGCACCACTGCACTGCAGACTGGGCAACAGAGCAAGACCCTACCTCAAAAAAATAATTAAACATCACCTCCTCCCTCTTTAGCCTGTTTCAGTGATAGCACTTAGCACCATCTGATAGTTTTACTTACTTCATGTGTGAACGCACACCCAATAGACTCCATGCATACAGAAAATACTGTTTTGTTCACTGTCATTCACTCCTATAATTCTCAGAGCCATTAACGGTACCTGGCATATGTTATGTGCTCAATTTTTGTTGTTAATTTTATGTCCTCATACAAACCAGTGCTTTAGCTCCGATAACATCGTTCTTTTCATATTAATGCACAAGTCCATATCTTTGAAAAAGATGACACTCAAAGTAACTCCACTGATTTTCCCAATTTCAAACTTAGAACCCTACAATTTGCTTGCTGACCACAAAGAGGAAAAATCTGATTTTACAATGTAACTATCATCCTAAACCAGCAATTGTCCTATTATCTTCAACGTAGATAAACCAGACATATGTCTCTGATGTGGTGCACCAGTATGTACATATAAACTCTTCCTGACAAGAATATAAACCTGATTTCAACTAAGTATACAAAAGTCACTTCTGCTCAGGACAGAGTATAGAAACCAAGTAAAATGACACCATTAGAAAAGCCAATCCAGGCCGGGCGCGGTGGCTTACGCCTATAAATCCCAACACTTTGGGAGGCCGAGGCGGGCGGATCTACTAAAAATACAAAAATCAGGTGGGCGACTGTAATCCCACCTATTTAGGAGGCTGAGGCAAGAGAATCGCTTGAAACCATAAGGCGGAGGATCGCGCCACTGCACTCTAGCCTGGACGAAAGAGAAACACTCCGTCTCAAGAAAAAAAAAAAAATAGGTTTTGGTGATGTTTCTATATTGCTCACTAAGCGATACTCTTTTAATGTTCTTATAATACGCAGAAACACATTTTATTAGGTCTAATGGAAACAGTACTTAATAGCTCTCGAATGAACATTTATATTGTTACCCCACACTACCTTTTGCTGACCAGTTTTGTCACCAAGTCAAAAGCAGCAGCGTAAACGCCGCCTGTACTTAGATTTACGATCCTACTCAGGGAGATCTGTTGCGCTCACGGATTCGCCTTTAAGGACCGCCGCCTGGGTGCGAGGCTTCTTTGTTCTCAGCCCTCCCCGCCATTTTGAAAACAGTAACGTGGAGTCTTCCCCGAGTTTCCTACAACTTCCGTAATCCTTGAGATCCTTACGAACACTTCAAGCTTAAACTGAAAAGGAAAGCCCCACGAGAATTATAAACCGTGCCAATACAGCTTACTCACTGCTATCTAACGCCCTAAGGTGTCCAAGAAAACTAAACGTTAAACATACCAACTACCCCCAAATAGGAAATAGTAACTTTTAAGTTTTTTGTGCCCAAATCCTAAACATGCGCGATTAACCACAAGAAATTAAACGTTACCTGCAAATGCACACTAGTGCACAACGACTGCCTTATTCAGCAAAAACCTGGAACAGGATAACAAGATGTCCGCTCTTTTACGAAGAAAGTGGGCGGCCCTAAAAAGGGCCTTTGGTTGTAAAGAGAAATACTGAGTGGAGTAAGCGGGAGCCTTAACCACCGAAGCCGTAAAGAGTGCGTCCCTGTCGCTTCAGCGCATAGACCACATCCATTGCTGTTACAGTCTTGCGTTTAGCATGCTCCGTGTAAGTGACTGCATCACGAATCACGTTCTCCAGGAACACCTTCAGAACACCACGGGTCTCCTCATAGATAAGGCCAGAAATACGCTTGACACCGCCGCGGCGAGCAAGGCGGCGGATGGCTGGCTTAGTGATGCCCTGAATGTTGTCCCGCAAAACCTTGCGGTGACGCTTAGCGCCTCCCTTACCTAAGCCTTTCCCACCCTTACCACGTCCAGACATGACTAACCAGCTCCCAAAGCCGCTTTCAGGAACCTAAAAGCCGAGGAGAGCAACGACGCCCTTATATGCAGGGAATTCGGACCTAATTGAAGACTGAAAGCGCGCATACGGGAACTTTGGTCCTGCTTCTTGGTCTCACCCTATGCAGCCCGCCCTGGATGATGTCACCAACAACTTCAGCCTTTGACATCTGAGCGCGGGTTCCGTGGAGGCGTCTCGCAATTGCTGGGAAATAGGAATGGGAGTTTTACGGCTGTTTTAACAGCTAAATCAGATTAAAGAAATCAACATGTTTAAATTATTATCAATTGTTTCTTGAGTTGCTTTAGGACAATTGGAGACGAGCTTCGGTCCACAGGACCGAAAGCCTGAGGAGTCCAGCTTTGTCCCCAAGGTCACAGTGACTGGCATTTCTGCTGCCTACTGTAAAGCACATGCGGACCGAAACCTCCTTCGGAAGTGTTTGACAATTGCAAGATTTCACCCTCTCTATCATCAAGCCAAGGGAAACGTAACCAAAACGGTTTTCTTCCCGATGGCGAAGACATGGTAGGTTAGTGATTCGTGGTAGAATTATCCCCCTCCGCGCGGAGGCTTGATTCTATTCCCAGTTTGTTCTCTTCTTTCCCTACTTATTAAAATTTGTAATTGCCATTTCAATATCTAAGTGCCCCTCACAACTGCACCCAGTGTGTGGGTTTCGGGGTGGGTTTTTGGGGGGTTTTTTTTCCCCTTTTTTTGTTTTATTGAGACAGGGTCTTGCTATGTTGCCTGCGTTCGTCTCCCGAAGTGCAGTGACTGCAGGCGTGAGCTACTACAGAGTGACTCTCGCACCTAGCCCACTAGTGTATTGATGTTTACTTTTCTATCCCTAGTTTTGTTTTCTGTTTGATTCTGGTAGACGCCTTTTTCCAAAGTGAGTTGGCAACCTGTGGTAGCCAAAGTATGAAATAGGCAACTTATCGTAGGCTCGCTCTTAAAATACGAAGTGGTCTGAGCGCATCGCCTGTAAGTAGTTAAGAGTATTGTGAGGAAGGCTTGGTGATGGAGGAGCAGAGTGGCGCAGCGGAAGCGTGCTGGGCCCATAACCCAGAGGTCGATGGATCGAAACCATCCTCTGCTAGACATTTTTTTCCCTTGTCTCTTCCGGATAATTTTTTTTTCTAGTTACAATTTTTTTAGGTTAAACAATAATGAAAGAAAACAAAATGAGAATGGCGTGAACCGGGAGGCTGAGGCAGGAGAATGGCGTGAACCCGGGAGGCAGAGCTTGCAGTGAGCTGAGATCCGGCCACTGCACTCCAGCCTGGGTGACAGAGCGAGACTCCGTCTCAAAAAAAAAAAATAATCAATACACTTTGGGCGATGGGGCCAGGAGAGATTAGTCAATCCACCAGTAATATTAATAGAGCTAAGGCTTAAGAGGTACATAATTATTCCATGGTGACTCAACCATGCCTGGGATTGGACTGTAAGGCAACTGCCATTGAGCGACGTATCCTTGGTGATACATAAAGGGAATCCCTCCAATGGGGGCGGTGTAATTGATACTATTGTTCTGAGAATCTAATTGTTCTCTGTCGGGGGAGTTAAGGATCCTGGAGTCCATGCTCACTGATCACGATATACCTCAGGAGGAGTGTTACTCTGGAGTACAAGTCACACTACTCAGGGGTTAGGAACAGATGCCCAATATGTTTTTGCTTCTACACAGGGGAAACACACCGCACAGGAGACTGCAGCTAGTATGGCCAAGACCATCGAGTCAGGAGTTTTTGCCTGACCCTGACACTCCAGCATTTTCTCAGCTTCCTGCGTGGTTTTCTTGATCTGTCCCCATGTTATGGGGGTGGATGTCAATGTGACTCCAGTCAGCCCTCGTTCCATTTTCGCATTCAGATTCAACTAGCCTATGGCTTGTACTGGGGGAACCGGGCCCGTGGTTGCGATCCATGGATCCCACCAGTCTCCTGTTCCATGGTTGCACACATCTGGAGGGCACCTACACGGTTTGTCCATCTCCTGTAAAAACACAAGCATACCCTCATACCCACGTCAGCAAATCCACTGGGCCTTTCCATTGTCCTTCCAGGGATTTCCATAACACCTTTGGATAAACTTGCCTCTTTCCCTCTAACACTTGCCAGTGTCGTTCTGCCGGAGTCTTACCATCCATACCAGGAGTCAAAAAATTTAAAGTAAACAAGGCTAAATGTGATTTTATTTAAGGTGGTAGCTGGTCTCCTATTCTCCCGTTTTTCTCAACATACACCATAGTGTTTGATGTGCCCACTCTATAATACCTTGTCCTTGGGGTTGTAAGAAATTCCTGTTTTATGAGTGATTGCCCATAACTGTAAAAACTTTTGAAAAGCACGACTAACATAAGCAGGTCCATTGTCAGTTTTTAATTGTTTAGAGACTCCCATATGGGCAAATGATGACAAACAATGCCATCGGACATGGCCAGCAGTTTCCCCTGTTTGATATGTGGCATGTAACATATGGGAGTAGGTGTCTATAGTCACATGAACATAGCTAAGTTTGCCAAAGGCTGCTGTACGTGCAACATCCATCTGCCAGATTTCATCTGGAGCCAAGCCTCATGGGTCGCATCCTTCCATGGGTGCAACACCAGGGACATGCTGACAAGTGGGGCAGGCTTGCACAATAGCTTGAGCTTGGCTGCAAAGCAGATGAAACATAGAAGTAAGGGCAGAGGTGTTTTGATGCAGTAATGTATGGGAAGCTTGGGCTTGTTGAAACACAGAACCAATTAATTTATCTGCTTTATCATTACCTTGAGATAGTGGTCCAGGAAGTTGCATGTGAAAGCGAACAGGAGCAGCACGAGAGCAAATAGCTTGTTAAGTCTCAGAAACAAATTAAGCAGCTCTGGTTCTAGGGTGCCCTTAATAGTGACAGTCTCAATGCAACTACCTGCATTTTCAACATAGGCTAAATCGCAGACAGCATAGGAGATAAAGCTGTGAGCTCTAAAACCTGAATAACTGCCATTAACTCTGAACACTGAGCTGAAACTCCAGAGGTCTTTATTGTTTGAGTATGCTTAGTTACATAAATAGCCGTGCGGCCTTTGTAAGAGCCATCAGTAAAATAAGTCCTTCCACCTGGAATGGGCTTGTGATGAGTAATTACAGGGAGGATAAAAGGGTGAACTTTATAAAATTGCAAAATTTTGTCTGATGGATAATGGTTATCTATTATCCCCACAAAATCTGCAAAAGCGATTTGCCGTGCAGTCGACATTTCCCATACTGCGGCCTGTTGTTGGGAATCCAAGGAAACAATAATTTTATCAAGATCACATCCTGTAAGCATTTTTTATCTATGCCTACCTATTGTTATAAGTTGAGTAATTAAAGAAAGATAAACTTGCACAGATTTCACTGTCTGATTGGATTTTTAAAAGCCATTATATTGTCATTACAGATTTGTCTATGAATTGGCCTAAAAATCCTGATGGAGAATGAGGAGTAGGAAGAATAAACAAAAGCAAAGGCTTTTGCGGCTATAGCCGGGAGGCATGTTGTTGCTGAAGGATCTGTTCTACAAGTTGTCACTCAACTTCTCCCTCCTTAGTAAGTTGCTGAGGAGAAAGTAATGAAGAATCTCCTTGGAGGGTTTGATAAAGGTGTGTGAGTTGGTAGATAGCAATACCTAGCATCGGGCACAGCCTATTAATATCCCCTAATAATTGTTGGAAGTCATTCAGAGTTTGTACTCTGTCCCTACAGAGAGTTACTTTCTGAGGCTGAACATGTCTTCCAGTAACAATAGTACCTAAGTACTGGTATGGGGAGGTTGTTTGCACCTTTTCAGGAGCTATTTTGAGATTCCATGCTATCAAGGCTAGTTTTATTTCTCTGAATAACTGATGTAACATTTGATCTGTAGGAGCGGCCAAAAGAATATCATCCATACAATGAATGATGTAGGCAGTGGGAAATATATTGCAAGGCTCCTTTAAAGCTTTTCCTCCAAAATGTTGACATAACATAGGACTGTTGAGCATGCCTTGGGCTAAAACTTTCCGCTGATAGCGAGAGACAGCCTCTCTTTGATTAATAGAAGGCAGAGAAGGCAAATTGAGGCTTATCCTTTTTGTGTAATGGTATAGTTAAAAAAAAAAAAAATCTTTAAGACCTATTACTACAAGAGGCCAGTCTCTTGGAATGGCTGCTAGGGATGGCAGACCTTGCTGTAATGCACCCATTGATTTAATCTGTGCACTCATAGCTCTTAAATCATGTAGCAGTCGCCATTTTCCGGACATTTTTGGATCACAAATACTGGTGAATTCCAGGGGCTGAGTCTTCTATATGTTCTGCTTCCAATTGCTCTCTCACTAGCTGATGGAGTTGCATCAGTTTCTCCTGTAATAGGGGCCATTGATCTACCCACACAAGTTTGTCAGTCAGCCACTCTAGCGGCAAAGCAGTAGGTGGAGGAGAAATATCAATGACCCCTGCCCAAAATCCTGATGACCTAGCCCTTTTCTATCTGTTTTGTCCAGTTATTGATATTGGATCAGGGTTTCCCTGCAGGGGCTTTCCTAAGTCTTTTCCACTCTGATATCCCATTTTCTTTAACATTTTAAATCCTGGATTATCAATAGTTTCATTTGTAAGTCTCATATCACATGCTATAAGTAAATCTCGGCCCCATAAATTAACAGCTATATTTGCGACATAAGGTTGAAAAGTACATGACTGTCCATCCGTTCTGAGACAGGATAAAATCTCAGCACTCTATTGAACACTTTGAGCTTTCCTAGTCCCACTAGGGATGTAGAAGTTAATTGCAGGGGTCAAGATGGTGGGCCAATAGTGTTTGGATATTACTGATGCATCAGCTCCCATATCCATAAGCCCATAGAACTTCTTTCCTTTAATTGGCACTGTACAGGTGGGTTGATTCAATGCTATGGGTTGTGATAGATAAATTTACCACCTAGTTGTCCTTTAAATCCTTGATTCCCTCGTTTTTCCTTTTGTGGGGAAGGGTACAACTTGCAGGGAATAAGCAATAGTTGAGCAATATAT